TGTGATATAAACACGCTGGGAGCCAGATATATATCATCATTCGACAAAACATCATTTCTAGATCTCTATTCTACTATATATATAATTCAATGTGGTCTGGCTCATATAAAATACTAATAAAAGATGCTAGACAACAAATTCAAAAACAAATTTATATGCAGCCCTAATAATCTATGTTTTCAATCTCATACACTTGGAGGGAGTAGGATGTGCTATTAAAGCTTGACGTTTGTAGGAGTTTCAGTAAATCACCTTAAATAAAACTGGTATGTGTGCAAGTTTGAAGACGGAATAAACTGAGAATAAAGAAAGACAGGAACAAAGAAAAGTAGAACAGTATTCGACCAAAAATGGAAAGAAAAAATTTGGAAAATTTGGCATTTGAAAAAATCAAACACACAAACTATCAACAGCTACATAAAAATGTTTTGCCAACGTTTCAAACATCATCGATTCCTGTTTATATGCTTACAAAAAAAAGATTATTGCTATTGAGAACTATTTCTTCACAGAATGTGATTTGATATAAGCTAGCATATTTGATGTTACCCGTTTTTCAAGACATACTGGAAAATTTGATTTTCAAAACATTTAGTCTTAAAAAGGAGCAATTTGATTAGATGAATGTGTAGAAGAAACGAGTGGAAATAAAATTGTATTTTGTTTATATTACATAAGAAAATAAGCATATCCTGTTGGTAGGATGGTGGTTATCATGGACTAGAGGCGGCTTGTCAGCCTAGTTCCAGCAAATATTGACAATTTAAGTTCTTGTTATTGCTTCTGTTTTGGTTGGCGAAGAAAAGATGTCACAAGCCACAAAACCCTTTGATCCTGACGCCTCCGTCAGTGTTTTGGAAACAAAGAAGAGTAAACTTGCTTGAGGAAATTGACATGCTAATTTGTCATTCGAATTACCCAAACTTTGAAATTCTCGTGCAAATATTAATTCTTTGAGTTGTTGGCATTGTCTCTGGCTATCAAAATCATCAGAACCTTGGCAAGATTTGAAGAGTTCAAATGAAACATTATTGGCCAAAAAGACTATCACGTGTTGAGCTACGCCAATTTGATAGAACTATCGTTTCCTTAAATCTTTGATGTTTTCAATCTGCACCAAATCCAAGTCTTGTTTCTAAATCACCAGCTATCAAGCAAGCAAGCAAGGTACCCAACATTTCTTCAGGAGTTCTGGTAAGATTTTCAAACTGCTAGCTGCAAATATAAAGGCAGTATACGATACGATAAAACGTGTGTTCTCTTAATCTTATTGTCAGGCGGTAGCCTGTGTGATGAAGTTAAATAGTCGGGACTTCTGATTCGAGTTGGAAGGAAATTGAAAGCACTGCCGACTGATAATGAGAATTCCTTGCCACCTTAGCAAAATTATCTTCGACATAATTTCAAACGAAGCTCTTCTACAAAGTCATTTGATCATCATTTTTTCTTTCTAATCCAATTATTGTACTACTGATTCGAGAAACCCTGTTATTTTAAGAAATGAACTTTTGAAGTCTTGAGTCAGTAAGTCTCTTTGAAGTCGAAATGGAGAGTTTGCTTTGTTGTACAATGGCCGACACCTCGTTGCTCAAATCTTGTCTTTCTTTTTTCGATATTAAGTATTGGAAAACTGGTTTCGTTCCGTTCTGGTTAGAATTAATTATTTGCAGCAATAGTCACAAGTGTTTTTTTTTTTTTTGTTTTGTTTTTTTTGTTGTGCATTTTCGTTAGTTATTGAAATAAGTCTCAACGTGGAATGAAGATCAATAAGTCTTTTAACATTGGCAAGTTTAGGAACATTCAAATTAAAGCATGTATTATTTCACTGTTTTGTTGTATCAGGCAAGAGAAAGACACGCCTGTGCAAACATCAGATTTTGTATCCCAAAATATTATGGAACTAAGAAACATGTAAGATGTGTTATGTAATAATTTGTGGATATATGCCTTGCTGAAATTTGCCCCTATTTGTTTCGATGAAATCAAAGGATTATGGTCTTCACCATGCATTTCCGGTACATTGTTTATTTTCAAGACCAAAGGTAAGGAAGCAAGTACTAGATAAGTAGTTCCTAAACCCAAATGTTATTTATTTTTCCTTTATATCAGTTTCAAGATTCTCCGATCAATATTAGTTAAAGTTACTAAGGACAACCAATTAGAATACAAAAGAAATTGCCTAAAAGGGCTAGTCCTGCATAATGGCACGTTTTTTCCCCATTCATCCATTCATCCATTCATCCATTCATTCATTCATTTATTCATTCATTTATTCTTCCCTTCTTTCTATCTCTCTTTGCTTCTTTTTTTTTTTTTTTTTTTTTTTTTTTCCATCTTTGATTTGATTCTTTTTGCCATTAACAAATAAGAAATAGTTTACAAAATTTGTTATATCCCCAAACGCTTAAAAGCCTGTTCGCGTTTGGCAAAATAATCGCGGACAATTTGTCAATCTATCCAATACAATAACAAAAATATAAATCAATTCTGTTGTATTAATTTTCTTCAGTCAGCATTAAACGAAGTTTTTCTATTTCCTGGTTTTCAGGTTTTCAGGTTTTCCCCTTTCTTCTCTTGCCTTTTGTTTTGCTGTGTCTTTTTTTCTTTTCTTCATTCTTCTTGTTCTCTAATACGTAAACTGAGTCCCATTGTCTTGCCTTCTAAAGCTACGTGCTTCATAATCCATCCCAAACCATAACACATCTTTGTTCTCTCAAGCACCTTTAATGAAATGTCTCATTTGATGGTCAAAACTTCATTACATTAGTAACTTTATATCCGCCTTGGTCTATTTGTGGCTTTAATGCTATCGCTTTTCAGTACTTATTAACGATTAATATACGGTCTACGCCTTATTGTGGTGAAAGGTTTATCTATCTATTGCTCTCCATGACCTATTGATGATAAATTTTATTAAGAATTGATGAAATC